CTGTATGGACTTCCTCCTCTGTTCTCCTGTTCTTTTTAGTATCTCCTCATTTCTAATAGTTTTTATTCACAGTATCAACATTTGCCTGAAGGATCTAAGGAATTTACAGGAAAAACAGAATGGAATCAATAGGTGTCGTCTGTAATGTTAAACATGATCGCTAGGCCACTGTATCTTAGGTTTCTGTACCAAAACTAATAACACAGTTCGTGTATGACCATTTCAGTGTTCAACTGTTCGTTTGTCACAGCCACTTCTCTTAGAGATTGTTGAGTACTTCCGCTAAGAATAAGTAGATGAAAGAAATTAACTTTTCTTCTAAGCAAAAGCAGGTAATAGTTTGGGATCTCAAGATATCAGCGTAGTGGATGCATTAAGGAACCTTCGGTTCCCGGAAAAATTACTATCAATTTCTTGAAATCTAATAAAATTTAAGACTCGCTCTAAAGTGGTTGTTTCTGGAAAATTCGAATGGCGTACATACCATTTTTCCGGTGATATCAGCGTGCTATTTACTCCATACTTTTCCATTTTAAAATTATAGGGCAACTTTACGTGTCCACAAAAAAGGAAATTGGAATATGCGGCAGTACACGTTGACGTTTGCATTTTTATCGGCACCTTTCAACTTGATGACCGAAACACATAATATTATACACAGATCCGCTTGTTTGATAAAAACAATATGCGCATTATGTCGCTGTGCAGTTTCCTTTTATGACTGCCCTTTTTCCAGAAACATGTTTGAGTAACTTAAATCAGAATTATGCGCCCAAAACACTACGAGGGCAATTCCAAAAGTAAGGTTTCCAAATTTTTTAAGTGGCTTTTAGCCACACTACTGTGCTTATTATTTACCCCATCCTCAAGGAAGCCATCGCTTGACTTTCTGGAACGCTCCGTCTATATTGGTTCAGCAGCCGTTTGTAAATGAAGTTCCCGATTGCCGTTATCGCAAGGTGCAGAGTTCACAAGGTCATTAGCTTTTTTGAATACTGTGGGCGTTAAATTTTTCAAGATTCATCATCAGTACGGAGATCCTTACATGGATGCCAGAAGCTTTTGGTACTGTGAAATATCAGAAGGTGTGGACAAGGGGGAACCAACGAACCACCCGTGACAACGCGTTGAGTTTCCATGAGTTTCATTGCAACCGCGTACATGAAAACAACAATATTTGGGATCAAACATTTTTGACATATCTACATGCATGACTCTTCAGACACTTCGGTTTACTGCTGATGAATGCGCTCAACGGAATAACTTCGCACATGATGGTAGCGGCAAGCAGGAACTCTATTAAGGTCAACTGCTGAGCCAAGATGGAACTTCGCAGCAAAATAAGCGATGGCTTGTGTGAGAATAGGGTAATTAGTTATACCAGTAATTTCCCGAAAGCTCTGGAGATTTCAGTTTTGGGATTACCCTCATATGAAAGACAACAGGTGTAACTTTGACAGACTAGGCTTCTACCTTGTATTCTAGCCAAGAAACTCAACTTTTGGATGTTCCACTTCCACCAGCTGCTAATGCTGATGGGAAGGAAGTTCCTTCAGATTACGCAGGAGGATGGGTCGGAAAGCCCTCGTCAGTCTTCTTCTAGGAGTTGATGAAATGGTGTGGGTGGTGATTGAGGTGAAGAAGATAACGAAAGAAGAGAAGTGAAAGAAAGTGGATAATATTATTGCTGCTCCTGCATATGAGTAAGGAAACTAAGCAAACTACAGAAACACTTGGACCTGGGCAGAATTTCTTCTAACTTGAAGTTGATTAAGAATGTGTTATGTCAATTGAATGAACAGAGAACAATGATGACTCATGTATAGTTGAGACGGTCAAAATCTGTGAAAATGGACGTATCTTCTTTCTTGTTTCCACTTGGGAGTGCGGTACTTTGCTGCGCTTTGAACACGCTTTTGTTAAGTTAGGAAATGCTTCATGAGTAGTACAGACAAAGTGAAAACAGAATAACAGTAAGCGGTGCAGCGGATAGAGGTTGATTAGGTACCCCAAAGATTAGGGTTGACTTTATAACTGCCTGGTTGGAATTATATCTATCATTAAACAAGCATCTTTGCTTTTGTAAATTCCTGAGAATGTTGACTTTTCTTTAAAATCCAATGCTGGGAACATACCCGATTGAATTTTGCTTTTCTCCATATCTGTTGCAGTTACACATCAATTGACAAAATGTTACTCCTTTTTCTTAATTAGTGTCTGCTGCAATTCCTACCTGACATCTCTTTTCTGTCCTGGTCTAGTTAATAAGCTGAAAGAAGAAAGTAAATGCGACAGTTTTATTGCGAACTATGCCAATTTTCTTTATGTTGAGCATATGCCATTAATAGTCAGCTGTACCTGTTAGGTTGCCATGAAATAAAAACTACCAATGAGCATACGCGTGCAATGAGAACAATTGGCACTTTTTTTCATCTCACTTGCTCCGTGTATCACTACTACTTGCAACGCTGCATGGATATTGCCTACTCTCTTCTGTCATCTCTATGGTATAAAATACCTTATGGAGTAGATTAGCAATTACCTTCTATTCAGTGACGTTTCACGGCATACCTTCAGTTTATTTATCTTATATAGGAGAGAACCCATGACTCCTAATGTAAAGAAGCTTAACGTGGTCAAAAATAAAAATTAAAAAGTCGTTTTTTACACTCTGTGGGTATAGGTCAAGATGATGGGGGGGGGGGATCGAAAGAGGGTGGTCACCATAAAATGTTATGGGGGTTGAAAGTTGATTATTTTGACAATTTTCATACACTATAATTCAAATAAAATTCAATAAAATAATTATTTTCAAGGGGGTGGAGGTGGGGGTGGAAAGAGGGTAGTCACTTGAACAAAACCCGATAACCTAACCTAACATATTGATAAAGAAATTTAAATAATGTTTTATATAAGTTTCTCAATATTTTTATGTATTTTTCATTAGTTTTACCTTTGAATAATGTTTAAGAATGACTATATAAATAGAAATGTATAAAAATTGGCATATTTATTAACTTTGAACCCCCATAACTTTTTATGGGGGTGAGACGGCCACGAACTTTTTATGGTACAGTGGTGGGGGTGACCTCCTCTTTCGATCCTCCCCGCTTCGGTGGTGGGGGCCATCATCTAGACCTTTACCAACCAACTAATAGGGAGACAGCGGAAACACGCTATAGTAATGAATGTTTTCCATTTGTCCTTATTCCTAGAAACCGATTAATCTCCACGTGCCGCCCCTGTTACCTGTTGCACTTTCGTGTTGTCGTTTTCAAATGGGGAAATTAAATTCGCTCTTTATAGCGGGTATTGCAATAATTTGCGTGCGTCTAATTGCTTTCGAACACTTTTTATGGTTTTCTGTTAAACCAGGTTTATAGTATATGTAGTCGAAAATGTGGAGTACGTAAATATGCATAAAAGAATGTCGTAATCGCAAATGGCAATAACTGTTAAAACAAGCGCTACCTACATAATAAGAAATTCGTTCGGTAAATCTACCTAACCGACAAATAGATAATTTTTTTCAATGTTTCATATACGGGTTGGGCAAAATTCTCGCCAGTATAGAAATTGCACATTCTATGTCGGACAAACGAAAAGATAAATTTTTAGTCAGTTCTAGTTGAAGGTATTTGAGGTTATAAACTTAACTTTTTGGATGTATGTTTGTTGTGTTGGTGATATATTACGCATCCATTAAGCTAATAATAATTATTTGTTGTTACCAGTAGCACTGTTACTCAATTAACACATAAATGTCATAAAAATGGTGTATAACCTCAAATTTTGAATCTATTGTTTATCTTCTCGCCCGTTTCTTGTCATTTAAAATAAATTCTAGAATATAAGTTCATTGAGGGATTATATAAGTTTTTAAATTAATTCAAGAGTACAGAATTATCGGCTGATTGAGAAATATGGAAGTCTGTGGGTAAATCGTAGTGACACTTTTATTTTCTATGGCTACCATACACGTAATGTCGCAATTGCGCAGGTAGAATGACGTCATTTCTTCTTAGACACATCCTTTAAGAAGTAGGTAATGGAATTAACAGATTTTATTTTCATGATAAACAATTGGAATTCAAAATTCTTTAGGCAATTTGGCTAAACAGTCCTTATAAATTCTAATGTGAAAACATGAAGATTTCAAAAATTTTAAAATAAAATAGCTGCCACTCGCCATGTTGAATTTTTGCAACCTTAAACTGATAAAATGTATCTATTATCGATATTAATTTTAGTTAATGAAATCGGCTCATTAAATTTTTAAGTCTTGTTTATTTCAAATTTGAAAAACACGTAACAAATGACCTTGATAGACAGACGTGCTTTGTCCATAAAATATCCCAATTCAATAAAAAAATTAATAATTTAAATTTAGTAACAATGCCAATAATATAATTTTATGATTGCATACATAAATACATATTTCCACTAACTGATTAAGTAATATTGTTTGCTTTTTTTCTGTCAATAAATTCTAGTATTCAAACATTCCGAAAGCCTTACAAATTGCTTTAGTTAACATTATTCATAAGACGGTAACATATTTTTTTTCTTAAATATTGGTATGTGAAAAAATTATTAGAAATTAATAATCTTGCGAAATGGTTGAGATTATTGGTCGGATTTCCCTCGGATCTGAGTAAAATTAATTAAAATCGATGACGATTGTTATTCACCGATTTCAAGAACGTTAGAGAGAACACAATTCCATAATTTAATTTCTATCTTAATTCCATTAGACACTTTTTTATCTATTTCTGTGTGAATAGTAAACATGTAAGTGATAATCGTTATTATCATCAATATTTCTTGCTCGTTGATAGATTCAGAACAAAATTCGATCCACTTTAATCTGTTGTGAGTGACTATCACTCGGTGAGTATCAGAAACAACTTCATTCAATTTAATTCCCGCAGATTATGAAACAAATATGTACAAACTCTATATGGACACAGAATATTACTAAAACGAAAAATTGTACTCACAATTGCTAACTTTTCCTTGCTGCGATATGAGCATATGAAGAGTGATGGGATCGTCACTACTGATACCCAATACCCTGTTTCTGGCAGCGCGACCCAGTCGCAGGTATTGTTTGTACAGACCCATTGCCTCTTCTTGTGTTGAATTCTGAAACAAACAATTAAATTACTTATGCATAATGGACAGCAATTACTTTAAACTTTTAAGATGCTGCGTCTGAATGTATCATCCAAGAAGAAGGAACAACATGACATTGAAATTACTTGTAATACAGATAATAGTGTCATGTATGGGTAACCCACTGTATGTCAGAAGGCCTAAGGTGGGTTGCCTAGATCTCGCTAGTAAGAAGAAAGACCAGATTCTCTAGATCCCACCTTGGAATCCTTCTAAAGCAAGTCCAATCCAGAAGTTGGTAGATACAATACAGTTTGAGTTCTAGTTCTAGTTCTATTTACAAGGCGATAGAAATCTTAATAAGATCTGCGAGGATGCGACACAGTGGGCGATATAGAAGTAAACGAGTGGTTAATTAATAATACTGGCGATAACTAAAGAGCAAATAGCGAAAATAAGTAAGTGCTAGTGTGAAAAGCGGGAAGCCAGCCTACTAGCAACAAGGGGTGGATACAGAGAGTAAAAGGGAGTTTTTATTTAGCTTAAAATTTATTAATATCCCTTTGCCAAAATTTCCATAGTAAAACTTTGATCCATATAATACACCTTGAACTCTTTTCATTTAATTTTTACCACTTCCCTCACACTAACTCCCATTCTTCTCTACTGGGTGATTTCCCCTTGTTGTACTTCGTGTCACTTAAATCTTTTTTCCTTTCTTCTTCAACTCCATTATTCTGGATAAGGAAGAGCAATTGCAAAAAAAAAGAGAAGGCGTCTTGGGATCCACAATGTATGGAATGAAAGAAATTGATGAATGGATTTATTGATTTGTCATACATGTTATAAAGCTATTGCGTATGATCCTGTCACTAATAGATAACCTTGCGGCTAATTCTGGAAGGCTTCCCATCAAGTACCACCTTCATCAACGTCTCAAACCAATTATTCCTTTCAAAAAGTCGTTCAGAAAATCAATCAGTCTATAATTTTCTGTCAACCTAACAAACTAACAACTGTTATAAATACAAATACAATTGGCGAAAGCAATAGTAATAGATACACTAGTGGATAGACAAAATTCTGTGAGGTGAAAATCATTACCAATGTATTATAATAAGGTCAACATGTATCGTAACAACTTTTAGAGACTGGATTGGGATAGATTCGAATTGGATTTTATAGACTTAATACTAAACATGAACCTATGTGGAATGTTTTCCTATTCATACTAATCCTGGTATGTCCGTCATGTATCAGTCAAACGGAACTGACAATGTAACAGGTCAATTGAAAAGTCCCCGGCCTAAAATAGTAAAACACATTTTTTTTGCAAAATTCGTTTTTTTTATTCAACATAATTCCCTTCAAGGGTGATACACTGATTATAGCGATCCTCCAACTTTTCGATACCATTTTTGTAGTACGATTTGTCCTTTGCTTCAAAATAGGCCTCAGTTTCGGCGATCACCTCTTCATTCGACGAAAATTTTTTCCCAACGAGCATTCTTTTGAGATCTGAGAACAGGAAGTAGTCGCTGGGGGCCAGATCTGGAGAATACGGTGGATGCGGAAGCAATTCGAAGCCCAATTCATGAATTTTTGCCATCGTTTTCACTGACTTGTGAGACGGTGCATTGTCTTGGTGAAGCAGGACTTTCTTTTTCTGCAAATGCGGTCGTTTCTCGGCGATTTCGTCCTTCAAACGGTCCAATAACGCTATGTAATAGTCGCTGTTGATGGTCCTTCCTTTTTCAAGGTAGTCAATGAAAATTATTCCACGCGCATCCCAAAATACAGACGCCATAACCTTGCCAGCCGACTGTTGCGTTTTTGCACGCTTTGGAGCGGGTTCATCGTGTGCAGTCCACTCCGATGACTGTCGATTGGACTTCGGAGTGAAATGATGGAGCCATGTTTCATCCATTGTCACATATCGACGCAAAAACTCGGGTTTATTACGCGTGATCATCTTCAAACACTGCTCTGAATCATCAACTCGTCGTTGTTTTTGGTCAAAAGTGAGCTCGCGCGGCACCCACTTTGCACAGAGCTTTCTCATACCCAAATATTCGTGAATGATGTGATGTATACGTTCCGTTGATATCTGTAGAGTGTCTGCTATTTCATTCAATTTCAATTTACGGTCATTCAAAATCATTTTGTGGATTTTTTTAATGTTTTCGTCCGTAACAGCCTCTTTTGGGCGTCCACTGCGTTCACCGTCTTCGGTGCTCATTTCACCACGTCTAAACTTAGCATACCAATCCTTGATGGTTGATTTTCCTGGGGCAGTGTCCGGAAATTCGTTATCAAGCCAAGTTTTTGCTTCAACTGTATTTTTTCCCTTCAAAAAGCAATATTTTATCAACACGCGAAATTCCTTTTTATCCATTTTTTTCACAATAACAAAAGTTGCTTCACTAAAAATGCTATAATTCACAAACTAATGATCCGACAGCCGTCAAATTTATAGACGCGTCTTTTGAAGGTTAGGACTAACTGAAAATCATATGGATTTAGTTCTGGTGCCGCCATCTATGTGTCAGGCCGGGGACTTTTCAATTGACCCTATATGTAGGAGCATATAGAGGTCGTACAAACATGTAGTTTTAGATCAATTGCTTATAATACATTAGGTAAATTGCCTGCCTATACAATATTCCATTAACTTCAAACTATCGCAAGTTAATGAGGGATCTTTTTTGTTGCTCTTGTCACACCCCCGCCGGGAATCGAACCCAGGACCTTCGACTTCACGCACCAATGCTCTGACAAGTAAGCTACCAAAGATGACAACAGTAACCACGATAAACTGAGCCTACAAGGTAGGATCCGTTAATTTTTTACTAATGTAATTATAATAGTAAATATATGAAACACAGTGACATTTTTAATTATTAATAGTGGTTAATAAGAAATATTAACGTGAAAATTAGGATGTTGAGTGAGGTAGTTCGTAGTGGATGGAAAATTGAAAATGAATTTTCACATTAATATTTCATATTGACCACTATTAATAATTAAAAATGTCATTGCCTATACAATAATTTACGGAACGTTAACGCTACGGATATAGAATGGAAACGGAGAGTATAGTGGAAATGTACCTTAAGCGTTAACCAAAATATCGATAAAAAAACATATGTCTACATTGACAAAAGAATTGTCTCGATTCTAGCAGTTTAATATATGTACAATCTTCATTTCGTTGTCTATAGTTAAGCAATTTTTTAATTTTAAGTTGAAAATACTATCTTAAAATGACAAATTGGAAATTTCAAAGTCAATATCATCCAAATGCCACATCACGTCATTTTGTATCTAAATATTTCTGTGTGCATCAAAACGTTGTTCAGGACATTATTCCTGTAAAAATAACACCACAACATTATCACCTACTTAATTTCTCAATGGAAACGTTTATGAAGATATAAGCGGTTGTTAACATTTCCATAAATACTGATTGGATGTAATTTTATTTAAGTATTTTGTAAAGTGCATGTGTTATTGTATTTTATGGAAAAGTTCAACAAAAACATTTAACTTCTAACAATTATTAATTGGCTCATTTACATTTACATACAGGTACCTTAAGTTTTGTGACGATTGTGCTTACGTCACAACAATTAATTTTCATGTTTCAGTCGTTTACTAATTAAGTATTGACTTGAAAATTTGTCCTTTTTATCTACCATTTAATAAAAAAATGTAATCATATAAACATGCATGTGAAAAATTTTACGTAATTGGGTAATTCGTCAATATACATAATAAATATAATATTTACAATAATTAATAGCAATTTCGCTTGTATGTAATTAGATAGAAATTTACCATATAATAAAGTGCAGAGACTAACTATGCACATATTTTATGAAAAATACTTACTTACGATTAAATGCTAAACGTCAATTTTTTATTAAAAATGGATTAAGTCAGTTTTTTACCAACAATAGAAAAGTGTAGTAAAATAAACTAATAATTTTACGTATAAATTGCGAACTCTTACACACTTCTGTACCAAAAATAGTAAAAGAGACTTGCTTAAAAAAGAACTAGTACTTACATTGTCAGACAGAAGAATGTAATTGGTAGATATTAAATATTTGAGTCAATTCTGAAAGGCAAAACTGGTAATAATTTATATATTTATTGAAACTAGGGAAAGATATTTTACCACCTTATTGTGTAAAACCACTTAATAACGTCACCCTGGGTGAAAATGGATCTGATGGTAATAAAAGATGAAGCATTCCACCTTGTGGCGAGCACGAGTGTGTTTGTGTGCGATCGGACACACGTGTGCGTGAACGGCTTATCGATTCGCCGACTAGCGGCGGGCGCCTTTCTTATCTGCGTTCTGGGAAAGTAGTTAAACAGTTCAAGGAAAAAAATAAACTATCCGGATGTTTCCAGAAGGTTCCCGAAAGTAAACAAAAGAGTATTTAAAGGAAGAGACGATCTCCGAGAAAGGAGAAATAAATTGACCGTTGCAGAAGTGAATCGAGAAATAAATTGACAGTGATAGCAGTGAAATAAACAGCGCAGTGAATAGTGATATATCAACAGTAGTGTAAATAAATAGAATAAATCATAACCTATAAGGTATATGTAAATCTTATAAACTTATAGTACCTATACATCTGAAATTGCAATTATTGTGTGAAAACCATATTATCAATAAAAAATTTAAAAAATGAGTTTTTTCGCAAATCGCAAAACGTATTGAAGACTATGATCATTTTAAAGATTTTTAACTACAACAGCAACCCTTGAAATGTATAAATATAAATAATGACCCGATTGTCACAATAATAAAGAATTCAATTGAGTTTACTTAAAATTTCAAAATACAACAACAAATTTAAATGAATTTTTGTGGCTTTGTAGCTATATTCATTTCAGTTGTAAAACGGCTAACTTCATTTTTGATTTCTAACTCTAAGCGGCAGAACAAGGTGCTATTAATTTGTTTAGTTTGTATCGCCTTTAAAACTGTAGATGTTTCTCTATCGCCTGGTTTCCAT